TTTTTATTTTTTTTTATTTTTTTTGCGGAACCAGGGATTGAACTCAGGCCCTTGTGCTTGCCAGGGAAGCGCTTATTCCACTGAGCCATTTTCCCGGCCCTAAATCTTGTGTTTATTTTTATATTCTGAATATACATGTATTCATCAATGATAATTTTATATCAAAGACTTTTTTACATTTTAAAAATATCAAGTGCAAGGTTTTGTTTGCTCACTTAATATTATATCCTATGTCAATATATTTAGCTCTGAGTCCTTTTCACTGATATATAATATTACATGGTCTGAGCATACCAGTTTATGTTCCCATTTTCCAGATAATAAGCATGTTTCCAAATGTTTAGCACTATAAATTACGCCCTACTGAACTCTCACTATCTCATATGTGTCCACATGAGAAAATTTTATAGGCTATTTATTTCTAGCAACAGAAATGCTGAATTAAAAAGCATTCGTATATTTTAAATCAATTACTAATTTTCAACTCTCTCTAAAGTGCTTACATCAATTTATACTCCTAAAAATAATGTACAGGATCACCAATGTTTGTCTTGCATTGCCAGACTTTTTTGGCAATCTGAAGGGTTTCTCTTTGAAGCTTCAGTTTACATTTCCTCTATTAGTAACACTGACAACATTTTTCATATCTTTATTGGCCTTTCATGTTTCCTCTTCTATGAATTACCTCTTCAATGTTCTTTTTTTCTTGAATTACAGCAAATCTTTACTTATTCTGGATATTTATAGATTACTTGTTGCAAATACCTTCTCTCTGTTGCTTATTGTCTATGTATTCTTTTCTGATTGATTCAGAGACATTTTAAGATTTTAATACAATAAAATTCATTATTATTTTCCTTTATGGTCATATTTTTAATGTTATGTGTATAAACCACATCTTTTTTTTTTTTTTTTTTTTTCTTTGCGGAACCGGGGATTGAACTCAGGTCCTTGCGCTTGCCAGGGAAGCGCTTATTCCACTGAGCCATCTCCCCGGCCCCTTTTTTGTCTTTCTGACCAAAATGACAGGGTCTCATTATGCAGTTCAGGTTGGCTATTAGCTCACTTTGTAACTCAGGTTGGTCTCAAAGTCGCAAAAATTTCCTGCCTCAGTCAAGCACTGGAATTACAGATGTGCGCCCCCATGCCTGGCTGTATAACTTGTATCTTGAGTCTTTGGGCCACGGTCACAAAACCACTTGTGTAGGGAATCCATCTGTCTGAAAAATGACTCAGTTTTAGAAGAATTTTCTCCATTTCACCTCTATACTTTTTCTATTGAAAATACTATCAATATGTAAGGGACAAAAATCTAAACAAAAGTCACCTACGTGACTGTCTATGTGGCAGACTTTTCTGCACTCTATCATAACAAGTAATTTAGGGATTTAAATATTTTTTAAATTTTGACCAAACAACAAACAGACTTATCTTTTACAGACTTAAACTGAAACTACATCTAATAATTCCTACACGATAACCATTATAGTTTTTCATGAAATAACATTGCTGCTGAAATGTTATGTGCTTTTGCTTGTTTTTAACCAGATGATCTCACAGAGGGGACAGTGAAATGAAATAACAAATTCGTACCTTTGTGGTTCCATTATGAAAATTTTCAGCTGGAAAGATGATTTTTCTTTTACGTGTCTCTTCATTATCCACAATGAAGTACAAAGATGGTCTGATACAGAATCCACTAAGGGTGCCAAGAACTTATTTTGGATAACTATTTATTTGCTATCATCAAGTGATCTAACAGACCGGCACCAAAGGAGGAAGGAGGGCTGCTCGGAACCTGGCCTACTGGACTGCACATGGTCATTACCAAAGGGAGGTGCTAATGAGCGTGAAAGTATCTAGAACACAGTCCAAGGGCAAAATAAACAGCAGATAAATCCAACTGATTTAAGTTGCGCTTTCAGGATATGACAAGGCCAAGCTAAACCACCATTCCCCGTGTCCCACAGAAGCCAGCACGGCCAGCCCTGCATCATCTTGCTCTCACCCGGGACTGTTTTCTTGGGAGGAACACCAAGCCACTTTCCAGCAAAGTCTTTAGGGGTCAGTTAGGGATATGTTGTCATACGACCACACGAGCTGCCTCTCGCTCCAGAAATAATGACAGGCATGTGTTTTTAAAATCAGCTCTCTTCATTTTCTAGGACAAGAACTAATGTGCTCCCTTTAACATTTTAGCTATTATTAAGCCAAAAGAATTTCAGTTTCTAATGAAATGATACTATAATGTCTATTATTTCATCTATTAATATTCTTTTTCTAAGGAGCTTTCATCTTTTAAATTAACAATGTTTATCCATTATTCAAATCAGAATGAACATTTTATACCGAAAGTACATAGCATCCCAATTTTAAAAAGTCAGCCCTACTATGATTGTATTGGAAATCCATTGTGTCAAGCTTAAATTACATGATCTGTTGCCCAGGTACTTATGTTTTCAATGTAAATGCACATCTATATGCTTAAAACACTTACTTGTTAAAATTTAAAAATGTAAGAGCAATTCCTCATGTTATATATGAAACTTTACTTGAAACACTGCATTTTTAATGATTGAATATTTCAACAGACAGACATTCCATAATTCTTTTAACTATTATCCTATGAGAGTTGCAGCCAATATTTTGCTATTTGTATAAAGTGCAAATACTAGCCATTCTTATCACTGGCTTACAACTACCAGGTAAGAGGCATGTATCTTTGAAAATTATACCTTGACAGTTTTTCTATCTTACTAGAAATCCAACTTATACTACCATAATTATCTGCAAATACTTTTTTTCACTTTTCAATACTTTTTCATTAAAATTTTACTCTACTATTAGGTCAAAATAACGTCACTTCATTTAATTTGGGTTTCTTTAATAAAGAAATTTATATTTTTTTTGTGGTAAATAATATATAGAAGCTCTGTATGTACTTTATATTAATGGTTTATATAAACCAACATGTAAGTGTGTCTGGTTCAATAATAAGAACACCTTAAAGTAAAATAAGCAGTTATCATAATATACATAAAAAACTGCGACAAATAATGTCCCCAATTCATCATCTGGCTTTATGTATTAGCCAAGGACCTGCATATCTTAAGCTGTGATCCATAAGTCTTTTGCTTTGTAAGTGTGATTCTCCATACTTACAGTCTTTCAGGAATTCTTGTGATTTCCACCCACTGATGGGGTCCTTTCTTATTCCAGCTATGATCAATTTATTCACATAAAAATTCGTTTGCATAGATACACAGGTACACTTTTTCTAGCATCTCATGGAATTTAGAACTGTGGATATACTGGCAGTGATGGCTATGTACAATTTAAGAATATTATGATTGAAACTACCATCTTGATCTGAGAAACTACCATTTTCTCAGTTTTATTCTTTGCTGAACAGTGTGTGCTCCAATTTTATACTGCTAGCTGTCTTAATCTCAGACTTTGAGATCCAATTCCTATTCGACATCTTTTCTTGAACTTCTTACAGCGATCCCAAGCCAACATGTCCAAAACTGAATTACTAATCTTACCTACAAAATTTGTTCTCCTCAAGCTTCAAACATATATCAGAAACCTTGGATCAAACTGTTGACAATTTCTTTTCCCTCACCAACAAGCAGTCCCTACAAAAACAAAACTTCTTTCCATCTTTACTGGCATTAACTCTGTCCAAATATCATCATCTCTTACCAGAGCTAGTTTAAAAGCCTAACTTGCCCTACTGGTTTTCCTGTTCCCCTCAAATTTATTCTCCCCAGAGTGGCTAAAGTCAATGTTTAAAAACAAAAATTAGATCACGTCATTACCTTGCTTAAAACTCTATTATTTCTCCTTACTGTTGGAATCAATTCCAAAGATTTATGACATCTCTGAATTTGAACCTGGAGAGCAAGTTGTTGCTATCTATTTGCAGACTTCTATGAGAGAAATAGATTAGGTCTGTTTAGGCTCTATAAATTTAACATCCTTTTCTTTTTTTTTTTTAAAGATTGATTGACTGATTGATTGATTGACTGATTTGGTACAGGGTCTCACTACACCGCTCGGACTCATAGTGATCCTCCTGTGTCTCAGCCTCCCCAGCGCTGGGATTACCGGCGTGTGACACCATGCCCAGTTTCAGTGGCCGGCACAACACAGGGCTAGCATGGCATGTGGTACCGGGAATCAAATCCAGATCCTCGTGTTTGCCAGGCAGGCACTCAGACCACCAAGCTCTTTCTCCAGCCCAACACCTTTCATTATTCCACTATCTTGCTAAAATGTTCCATAATCTCATATTAAACTAATATAACTATAATTCCCCCTCATGACAATGACCCAAGCTTTCTGGAGACACCTGAAGCACCACATAACATTCTGCCATCACCATGGGTCCAGTTTGCCTAGGTTTAGTGCTGTCCTTAACTGCTCAAAGAACACATACAAGCTCAAAAAACTGCAAGTACAGTAACAACAAAAAAACAAGTATTACTACTACACAGTAACCATAATTGGGAGTTTTAGACTACGTTAAACAGAAAACTAGTTACAATAATCAAACACAAATGGAAAATGGGGATAATTAAGACACAGCAGGTACCAAAGACTGCTTCTTCAAGGACCAATAATGATTATCAACAGTTCATACTGGTTTACATAAAAAAGTCACCATGGCTCTCTATTTCATATTCTCTCCACTTCTTTAATACTGTTAAAAGAAGAGGCTCTCCACACTGATTTCTAGTTTGATGTGTTTTAAGAGTCTTGAAATCTGACTAGTAAAATTCTAAGACTGGCCCAAAATCATTAACACAGGAAAAAAGGGGGAAAAGAAAGGATATTTATTCTCTTTCTTTGGCAAAACTCCCACTTACCTTACCACAAACCATACAAACTTGGAAAATGGAAGTATATCCTTACTAATACTTAATCATTCTGCCAGATTTGAATCCTGCTCTTGATACTGATGGATTTTGTAAATTAAAGGATCCACATTGCTTTACCTGATACATTCCAACTCCAATGTTCTTCGGCTCAATTTTCACTAGCTCAGCTAATGGATCTTGTACACGCCTTGCTATGGAAACTGCAAAAACAGAATCAGACAACAAGTATGACTTAATGTGAAAAGCAGTACTCAGATAATTACTTATGTTCGTTCTGCATAATATATAAGTACTTCCCATCCCTTTTCTTCCCCTCCAAAGGCCAACAATGTAAGAGTCAAAGTGCCCCCTTTTCACTCAAAATTAGAAAGCAAAATTTCAGGATTCTATGCCAAAAGAACAACTGACAGTTTTGAAGCAAACAGGTTGAAAGGATTATAAATGTGGCAAAACAAATAAAACAGTTTCCATACTTACACAATTATCTGTTCACTCTTTAAGTAAAATATATAAGGTACCTCATGTTTAAAGAAAAAGTAGTATTTTGGTTTTGGTTTTTTTACTTTTTAAGAACCCTGCCTATTATAAATATGATTTATATATCAAATATACTGATTAGCAGTAGAACTTTATTATGAGAAATAAGTGACGGAATCACACCAGTTTTTTTTTTCTTGGGGAGCAGGGCTGGGAACTTAACTCAGGGCCATTGAACTGAGCTACATTTCAAGTCCTTTTTCATATTTTATTTTGACACTGAGCTTGCTAAGTCATTAAGTTGTACAGACTGAACTTGAACTTGGAATCTTCCTGCCTTAGCCTCTCAGACTGCTGGGAGTATAGGCCTGAGCTACCATACTAAACTGGAGCTATATCTTAAGACAAACAGAGATTGAGCCTGTTGACTAGCGAATATACTTGTGTGGCTTTGAACATGACCACAAGAGTGCACTGGGAAGTGCTAAGAGTCCCACTTTCTTGCCTCTCACATACCCAGCTCTAATCTTATTCCTTTTTTGTCCAGTACAAAGCATGCCCCAGAAATCTGAAAATAACTCCAACCATAACTTTATCTGTGTCATGATTTGTACTTGGTCAACAGTAACTGTCATGAATTTATTTTAGCAAATATTTAAAAATATCATATCTAATTTATTTTATAAAGTACATTCAACTAGTGAATAGATACTGATTATAAAAGTTACAGATACTTCTAAGCCCTATCCAGCCCCAAGTAGCATAGTCACCATGAGTCCTGATAAGCGACTTTACACATCCTAAATGCATGAAAGCTAACTGGTGTCACCTCTTCACACAGGGTGGATAAATTGTAAATTAAGTGAAAACACTCAGACCATCAAAGAAAATCTCATGTTTAATATGTCAAGAGACACATTAAACTGTCTAGCAGCAGAAGTCACCTCTCTACAACCAGCTACCCAATTCTCTAGTTGCTGATTTGTGCTATCTCTCACATTAAAGAGCTATTGTGAACAGTTCACTGTAGGGTTACTCAAGTTTTTTTAATATCCCTTCTTACCAGCTCTAACATACTGTAACAACGGTAGCTTACAAAGCCAGCCTAAAACAACAATAACCTAGTGTCATGCAACCTGTCTCTCTCCAAAACAGCTAAGGACTCCAAAAGGTTCACATATACCTTCCTAGCAAGAGTCATACTGCAAGCATTATGGCAGACAGTAGAAATACTCACTGCTAATAACCACACTTATAATTATAGAATGAAAGCACAGTGCTACCACATATGCTTTAATTTCCTAAAGCAGGTATTTATACCACACCCTTTAAATCTACACCATAGTAAGAATGATCTTCACATGCACATATATAAATCGCCATATAGTTTTAAAAGTTTAAAAAAACTACAATAGTGAGCCAAAAATATAGGCATCAGAACATTTAGTGTATAGGAAAGCAGTATCAAAAATTTAGTAAAAGAACATCAAAATGGATAAATCTCTCAAATCTGTGTCTACTGGGACACCCACATTATGAAAACGTAAGTACAGAAGCTGGGTAGAACAGTTGTGTAACTTGGTAAGTACAGACAGATTTTCATATTTAAAAATTTCTAAACTATACCAAAGTTTTTTTAAAACTATATTTTATTTGGCTCACTTCTAATCTCTGTGACCCTTTTTCCATTTTCATATTATTAAATGTAGCAGAACAATGTAATGAAAATTATGGCTTCGAGGTGACACATTATTTCTACAAATCCAAAGATGCTCCGGAGTCATAGCATCCACAATATACAGCACTTGACAGATATCATGGTTCCAGAACTGGCACTTCCCTCTCACTGTTCACTCTATGTAGGATCAAAACCCAAACATAAAAGAGAAAGGAAGCAGGCAGAACATGAACATTATTTCAAATAGAGCTCACTCAACAGTTGTGTGTCCAACATTCAGAGAGAGAGAGCGATGCTAACTTCCTGCTGGGAGGACCAACAAGAAAGAGTTATTCAGCACACAGAAATAATTCAGAGCTCCATGCTGAGAATGGCCAGGCTGACAACAGATTACTGAATGGTTTTATTGAATGTCTGATCAAAAGAATTACATGACAAGAATGTCCCAGATTTGGGGAACATCTACCATTTAATACAGTGAAGAAAAGAAAGGACCAGTGAAAGAGTAAATAAATGAAGATGGGACCATAGGATAAAAGTCAAAAATACATGTGAAAAATGTTAACCATAGTGTTACTATATGCCCGCAAAAATTTTTCCTAGGTATATACTCATGAGAAATGCAAAAATAAGCGTATGTAAGTGCTGATACATGAATATATATAGCAGCATTATTCGGAATAACCAAAAAACCCAATATCCATCATTTGATGAATAAATAAAATGTGGTATCCCCATAAAATAGAGTATTATTAGCTAATAAAAAGGAATGAAATGCTGGTACATGTTTCCACATAGATGACCACAAGAACAGTACACTAAGTGAAAGAAGCTAGTCAGAAAGGATCCCATATGGTATGATTATATTTATATGAAATGTCCCAAAAAAGTCCAGAACAGGTGAACCTATATGGTTACAGAAGAAGAGTGTCCCACAGAGGAAGGGTTGTTGGGGTGGCAGATGGTTGGAAGAACAGAAGTGACTGCTAGTGGGTATGAGTTTCTTTTTGGGGTAATGAGATGTCTAAAACCTGGACTGTGATAACTCTACTACTCTGACTATACTAAAAATATGGATTATACACTTTAAAAGGATAAATTTTATGCTATGTATATATATATATATCATATGCCAGTGAAGCTATTGTATTTTTAAAATTCAGTATATTCAGATGTATGCCAAATACTGTTTTGTCCACATAAGGCATATATATTTTGCTATATCACTGCTACTATTTACCACTGCTTGGAAAATTCTAGGCAATGCACTGGACAAGAAAAGATACATATACTGAAATGACAAACACTAGCCGATGACGATGATGATGATGATGATGACTATTATCATTTGTAGATGATTGTCTCCCTAAATTACTCAAATAGCACATCAACTGAAAGACTGACAGAACTGATCAGATTCCAACTAGGTGGCTAAATTTCAAGACATATAGATAAAAGCCAGTGTTCATATGCAATCACCAGTAAGTAAGATGGAATGGAGAGTGAAAGAAATAAGGAGACGTTGGTCAGATTGTAACAGTAATTACAAGAGGAATAAGTTAAAAAAATTAAAACATCATGAAGAACCTGTTAATTATGCGTACATAAATTATTTCTTATATAACTTGTGCTAGTTCACAGATTGTGTTAACTTGAGTATGAAATGCCCAGCAAAGCTGGAGAGATAGTGTAGCGGTTTACGCATTAGGCTCTACAGCAAGAGGTTGTAGGTTTGAGTCTCAGGCCTGCCTTGGGCCGGGGAGACGGCGCAGTGGAATAAGTGCTTCCCTGGCAAGCTCACAGGCCTGAGTTCAATACCTCATTCTGCAAAAAAAAAAAAAAAATGCCCAGCTAAACTGGCTCAGCATAGTTCTGTGTGTGGAAGACCCACCCTAGTGAAGATGGCGGCCAGAGCAGCATAAAAGGGAAATGGAAAAGCAAAGCCTGCTTCTGCCTCTCAGCGGAGGCGCTCCAGTGCTCACCGTCACCTGGCTTCCAGCACAGACTTCCATCTGTCAGCCCTCTGGTGTAGACCCTTCAGCCTCCTGATGTGGACTCACGAAGAAGAACATCATGGTGCGCGCAGGCCTTTGGCTCAATCCTTCTACACCTCCAGCGCAGACAGACCTTTTGCCTGCTTCCACATCTGACTCTTTTGTTTTTTGGGTCTTTTTGCGCAACCAGGGATTGAACTCAGACCCGTGCACTTGCCAGGCAAGCGCTTATTCTATTGAACTATGTGGGCAGCCACTGCAAGCCAATCTTACCAATTCTTTTTTTTTTTTCTTTTGCATTTCACCTTTCCTTTATTAGGTATATTTGCTTAATGCTAAGGTTTTGTCAGTCATTCTTTTTTTTCAAAATCACTCTTTGCATTTTTTAAAGACTATAAAATATAGTAAAAAAATAAAAAAACAATACAGAATTTCAATAAACAAAATGACAGGAACTCAACAATGGTTATTATACTGCATACTGTCTTCAAATTAGCTGTTCAGGGCTGGTGGGATGGCTCAGTGGTCTAAAGCACCTACTTAGAAGAAGCTTAGCAAAGCACAAGGACCACGGTTCAATCCCCCAGCACCACATGCCAGCCAGCCCCGCCCCCTGGTGGGCTGAGCTGGTCACACACACAAATAAATAAATAAAATTAAAAAAAAAAAAAAACAAAAAAAAAAACAAATTAGCTGTTCAGACTACCAGATATAGACATGCAAAACTGGTTAAAAAAAAAAAATAGAAAATAAATTGTTATATACGCACATATCTTGCATTAAATCTGTTTCTCTAGCAAACAAACTGATATTTAATTTTATCCATAAAACCATGAGTAATAAAAAAAGTACAGAATCAAGATAAAAGTACAGATTTAACCAAATTTAACTCCACATTATAGTTTTCAAAGTATTTATAAATGAGCCTAAACTTGGACAAAATGCCTAAAATGGGTGCAATTAAAAAGATGTTCAGGCTAGGCCTGCTGGCACATACCTATAATCCTAGCACTCAGGAGGCTGAGGCAGGAGGACTGCTGTGAGTTCTAGGACTGGGCTATATAAATTGAGTTCAAGCCTACTGTGAACTGCATAGTGAAATCTTGTCTCAAAAACAACCCCCCCAAAAACAAAAAAGTTTCAAGCAAGTACCACAGAGATTGAGTCTTGCAACGGAGTAGACAGATTAGTGGTGGTGAACCTATGGCATGTAACCCGCAGTGGGATGTCTGTATCACTGCAGCTCTGAAGGGAGCACCAAAGAAGAGGGCTGTTCGTTTTATGACTGACAGGGAACTAACAATGAACAGAAGGGATGAAACACAAGGGGATCGCCTTTCTTGAGAACTAATTCATTCCACAAGACCAGAACCAACACTTTCCAAGACAAATGCCCTCCTAACCTAATGATCTTGCACTAGGTCTTTACTTCAAGATTCCACCACCTATCAATATTACTACAGTAGAGACTAAGCTCTCAGCGTTTGAATCTTTGGAGGACAAACTACACCCAAACTACAGGTCAGTTTTAAGGTAGAATCCAGACCTGTAGGTAGTTCAAGTCTCAAAGTTTCTCATGCATTAATCACTAAAGAAGAATGTGTCCAGTAAGAAATAGGACTTCACAAGGGAGTAGGCCCTATAAAAGCAAGATTGAGACTCCAAGCTTCTTTGAGTATTTGCCTTGAGGACTACTTTCAAGACTTCAAGTGTCTAGGCAGAAGTTCTGGATTGATAGGGATCAAGCATCATCACTGGCAAACAGGAGCAAGCTGAAGCACAGAGGGTAGACACGCCTGCAGTGAGTCACAAACCAAAGACACAGGAGTGGACATGGACATCAGAGTAATCACAGACTCAGAGTGAGTGACTCCCCTTTTACTGTCACACACTGCCACGATCTTGTTGGAATGATCTGGTCTTACACATGATTCTGACAGGTGCCTACACAGTCTGAGAGTTAAGAAGCAACAGCAGTCCCTATAGCGGTAGACCTAGGGGAGCACTATCCCAGAAAATGGCCCAAATATTTTTCACAACACCATGTTAGAAAGTATCCTTCCAGTAACAACTTGGGAAATTTTGGACTTTATTTCTTAAAAAGAAAATTATCATTTATTATAGATGTTAGACACACAAATTTTATGTGCATGTTTACTAGCTGCTAAGCTGTAGTCTCCTCATCTGTAAAGTAATAGTGTGAAAGTAGGTCTCATAGGCACCTGCAAGAATAAAATAATCAGGGCAATGCATTTCCTATAATGTTTCATATATATTAAGTGCTTAAGAAATATTAGAAGGGCTGGCCAAATAGCTCAGCAGATTAAAGCGTCTGCAAGCAGGCACAAGGGTGAGGGTTCGATCCCTAGGCCTGCCATGCTGGCCCCATCCCCAGGGCGCGCTGAGACAGCAATTGAGACTGAGCATGCTGGTACGCACCCGTAATCCCAGCACTTGGGGGCTGTAAACAGCAGAATCACTGCGAATCCAATCTACTAGTGAGACCCTAGAATTAGCAGCTCCCACCATGAATATTTCTACTCCTCTCACCACTATTACTACAGATTACTGTTATTATAAAGCAAGAACACCAGGTAAGCAGGCAAGGACCAGCCTGAGCCAATGTGACAGGGAAGATTTGCACAGAAGAAGTGACACTGTATGCTGAATTTGAGTTTGAGAAAATGATAATTTTAGATGAGAGATTGTAGCATGAACAAACAACAAAAGAGAAACTAAAAAATTTTTCAGATGTAAAAAAACAAAATAGTTTTTATGTTTTAATACGAAATTCTTAAAATCTGTACTTCCAGGTACAGCTTTCAAGGACATCCAAAGAAACCTGATATGAATATTTAAAGAAAAAAAAACAAGGTGTATTATGAACAAGCTGATTGATATAACTCCCCTATTCCCCCATCAGGTCTAGTATTTTGCCAGTGACATCTATTGCTTCCTCTAGATGGATCAAGGTATTTCTTTAAGTACAACACACAAAGTGTGTGTTCTTTAACTATTCCACATCACAGAAATTAGGCAATTAAATACAACTAAAATTAAAGTAGGCTTTTTAAAAGCAACATACTATCAAATAACAGATTCTATTAGAAAGCCAAAAGAGACTAGTCATTTGGAAAACACTTAGCAATAAACTGAAAGCTGTGTGTACTTATTTGGTGTGTTTGTACCATGAATATTATGTTAACATATTACTTATTGCCAACAAAAAGTTCTAATAACTAGTATTTTGTAATAATAATAATAAAGACCCTAGTGTTCCATTATTTATTTCTGAACACTGGCATTTCATTTTCCGAAAAAGGTTTCATGTTAATTTTTCACTGTTCTCTAAAGTGTTATGTAGTATTCTTTTTTTTTTTCAAAATTTTATTGATAAACAGATAGCAATGAGACAGTTTCAAATCAAATCGGAAGTACAGATTCAACAAATAA